AGCTTCTCGAACCGCGGGCGACAATATTGCACGTTGTCTTCGTCTAACAAATGTCACCAACCGAAGCTCGTAACGCTTTTGTAGCTCACACGTACCTTTGCTCCTTCCGTTTAAACCGCTTTTCAGCGTTCGACATGGCGTCGCGTGGCTTCAACTCAATCGTGAACAGACATTTGCTCAGGTTTGCTTTAAATTCGTCCTGATAATTTCTTTACTGTCAGCGAATTGCGTGGGGTTAGTCTGTCGTTAGGATTAGGCAACTGATCTAATTTTCTCACCAGATTGACAACCTGTAGCGAAGCCTGTTAGGTCTATGTCCTGGCTCTTTCATGATAGGTCTCGAACGTTTCGTGGGGCCGCGTAGAAGCAAATTGCTTACAGCACATGCGGAACAGGTGATAGACGTAGAACGTTGGCCTTAGCTGAACAAGCGTAGTGCAGCAGGTCACTTCGAAAGGAAGCGGCCTGGTCTCAACGGCAACCAGTACTATAAAGCGGACAGCGTGAGTCGGTTTGATCTGTTGTTGAGTGTCAAAAGACATCGTAACCAGCATTTCTCAATAGCTGTCGTACCTCCGACGCAATACCAAAGAATGTTTCAGAAAAGCAAAGAAAAAAATTGCCAGTGTACCCCTGAGCGAGCTAGTTACATAATCAGGTGTCAGGTGTTCACCAGACATGACGGGTAGGTAGATTTCGAGTAGAGCAAGGTAGATATCATATCTGTTGAAGCTACGGCCTGTAGTGATATTTGACCGAGTTCCGAACGATAATGGCGATCCATTCACTGCATATAGCTTCCTTCATATCGACGGTGGTGGATTACGAACGCTCGCGGGCTACAGCTTTATATATTTTGCCTCTGTCTAGATAGGTTTGATAATTTAAAGGAAGTGCCCTCTGCAAGGTAACTAGGTTGGGAGTATGGCGAAATCTGATTGAAAATACAATAACGTGGTCGCATCGATTCAAATCGCGCTGGTTTGCTAGAAATACAATTGTATTAGATTGGGGTGGACTAAGCAGATGCCTATCGGGGGCATTCGACGAAGGTGGTCGTTACCGTTATTGGGGGCATTCGATATCTGCTGCATCGACAACTAGTAATGTGACGATTGCTCGAAAGCTCGTTACGGCGTGCGAGGGTTGTAGCAACATTTTAACCGCGTAAACCTTTCACGTCAACGCCCACAAAGTATACCATATTCTATTCGCATATAGGAACGTAGCTGAATCATTCTGATCACGTTGGGTTATCATTAGGAAATTACTGGTTGGTTCTTACAACGACGCTGTGCGGGCATACCGGGTTCGGGGATAGATTGAAACAGCATGAAAACAATAAGCCAAACACAAGGCGGAGAAATTGAACATGACTGAAAGTATAAAGATGCATGCTCATAGTTTAAGATATTGCATCGGGCCAACAAAGTCTGTTTGTCTGTTTGCGGGCGGAGTCATTGCGCAGTGAAAGGCGAAGACCACATCACGGCTACTTGCTATCGGCATCCAATTGCAACGACGCTTTAGGACTTAGTATTTGTACATATGCTACCTATGTGTATAACCTGATCAGTAAAAACGGTGCCTTGTTCGAAATGACGACACCAAATCGAGTGGCAGACGATATTTCTGATTTGCTCTTAATTATTCATCGTCCACTATGGCGGTCATATGCAGATGTGGCACGCGACGTATACTTATGCACCCGCTGACTCGAGAGTAGCAATTTTGTTGCGCAAGAGAGCCTGAACGTAGCCCAGGATTCTGGGTTTATCTTTGTAATGATGGACGGCTATATATGTATTTCGAGGGGCATATCCTTTGATCACCTGCCCCTGCTATTGAAAGACGAAAACGATTTATAGAGAATATAGCAGTGTTGATATTACAAAATAAAGCCAGTGACTGCAATCAGCAAAACCACCTGCCCCCTATTTGTCGCTTCGTTTTGAAATAAAAAAAAAATTGTTATTGAATAAGGAACGCATGCAGATGTTATACTTAGTAATGATAAGCGGCGAAGAACTTGCCTTAGGTACCGAATTAACGAAGTACGTAGATGTAAAATTAGGTGGAGTCCAAGAGAAGTATGGAGTGCGTCTAAATTTAGGAGAAGTTGTGATGTATGTATGCACGCTAATCGAAAGAACGAGGAGCAATACCACTGGCATATTGAATAATAAAAGCTCGACAGGTAAATACACGATATATATGTATATAT